GGTGTTGCTATTCATATGACAAACACAAAAACACTGACTTTTCAGTCTCACTGACAAGCACACACTGACAAACACGCACACACTGATATATCAGTCACACTGAAAAACACACGCACACACACACTGACCTATCAGTCAAACTGACAAACACACACACACTGACCTATCAGCGGCACTGCGTGGCTCTATATAGGTGACCAGCGGCGGCTCGCCCAGCCCACCGGCCTTGAGGGTCAGGCCGACCGACCTGTGCTCAGGGCTCAGCATCACCTCTGTGGCCTCGGTGCGACACACTTGGTTAGTGGCGCTCAGCACAGACGTGCTCGACGACGCGATGGACACTGCCGGAACACAGTCACAGAACAGTCACACAACACAGTCACAGTCATAGAATATAGTCATACAGTCATAGAATATAGTCACAGTCTTAGAATATAGTCACAGAATAGTCATACAGTCATAGAATATAGTCACAGAATATAGTCACAGAATATAGTCATAGAATATAGTCATAGAATATAGTCATAGAATATAGTCACAGTCTTAGAATACAGTCATATAGTCATAGAATATTGTCATACAGTCATAGAATATTGTCATACAGTCATAGAATATAGTCACAGAATATAGTCATACAGTCATAGAATATAGTCACAGAATATAGTCACAGAATATAGTCATACAGTCATAGAATATAGTCACAGAATATAGTCACAGAATATAATCACAGTCTTAGAAAACAGTCATACAGTCATAGAATATAGTCATACAGTCATAGAATATAGTCCTAGACTATAGTAATAGAATATAGTCATACAGTCATAGAATATAGTCATAGAATATAGTAATAGAATATAGTAATACATTCACAGAATATAGTCACAGAATATAGTCATGGAATATAGTCACAGTCTCAGAACACAGTCATACATTCACAGAATATAGTCATACAGTCATAGAATATAGTCATACAGTCACATAACATAGATGAAATGTATAACACCAAAAGTATAAAAAAGACAAAAAGCATAACAAACGACCCATCACATCCCCTTTCCACGCAAAATTGTTAGATCACGCAGCAGAAGATATGTAAAACAAAGAAAGAAAGATATAAAAGAAGTTTTTTTACCATCTAACGTAAGACTATAGTCAGAATAAGCATCAATTTGTATTGTAATTTACATGTTGTCTTCTAAAACTTCAAACAAAAGAAATATAGACATTTTTTTAATGTCTGCAAAAAAATGACGACACAAATAGTATAGGCTGGATTGAGGAGTCAAGGACTCCAGTATTACCTGAGCCAAGGGGAAGAAGTGAGGGCTAAAAATAGCCTGATGCTGTAAGGATAAGATAAGAAGATAAGATAAGAAGATAAGATAAGATAATACTTTATTATCCCAGAAGAAAATTTTTCTAGGCTGTACAGGACCATAAAAACACATGCAGGTATACAAAACAAATTTAAATCATATATTACTCTCATTAAAATTCAATATGAAAAGAGAAGTAAAGCTGACAAAAAGTACATTCACATCAGGTGCATTATTCAACCACGGGAGGAATTTAAATACAAGACCTCTGGAGTTATATACAGAAACATACTCTATTTAAGAGCACAACACATCTATGCTCATTCTGACAAAAGCCATATGCTAGAAGGTAAAAAACTTCTTTTATACGTAGGCACTCACTACAAGAAATGGCCCGGCGGTCCGGGCCCCGGCTGAACGTGTTCCTCTTGCGCATGTTGAGAGTGCCGAAGGGCGTGGCCCCCACAGAGGACGTGTCCCACAGACTGGACATCCCACCGGTCAGTTTCCCGCCGGCCGGGCCCAGCGAAGGCAGAGTGTGGGAGGAGAACGAGGGAGCCAGGGCTGGAACAGAGGGACACAATTAATATTACCACCGTTAACTTTTTGTTTCTATATATTTGAGTACAGGGAGAAGAATCACAGCAATTGATGGATAGAAAAGTGGGAAGACATGGAATAACATCAAGAGGCTAGCCCAGGATAGAGAAAGGTGGAAAGTGTTTGTTCTTTAGTTTTAGTAAGAGTTTTACGGCACTTGCAACACAATAAGGTCATATAAGTGCTGAAGATTAGAGGTGTTACAAGAGAGTAACAAAACAGTGTGTGTGTGTGTGTGTGTCTGTGTGTGTCTGTGTGTGTGTGTGTTTGTGAGAGAAAGAGAGAGAGAGAGAGAGAGAGAGAGAGAGACATGAGTTGTCTTACAAGAACTGTTGTGGTACAGAGACTGTCGGTTGGCACAGTTCTCCAGGTGTGTGACCGGCACCAGCTCCAGCCGTACGTGGTTCTCTCCCCCTGACTTGAGCAGCTGCCCGGCCTCGGCCACCGACATCACATCCACCGCCGCCCCGTCGATCGACAGGATCAGGTCGCCCATCTGCATGGCTCCACACCTGGGGGGTCACACACACAAACACATAGATAAACACACACACACAAACAGACAGATAAACACACACACAAACACTTTGATATAAACACACACACAAACACATAGTTTTAGTAAGGTTTTACGGCGCTCACAACTGCATAATGTCATATGAGCGCCAAGGGATGGATGTCAACAGAGAAGTCCAGACAGGGAATCTAGCTCTAGCCTCAACAACACACACAAAGTCTACTTCGTCTATCAAGGCACCCCGGTAATAGCTGTTCACAGTTTAATTTTAGCTTTAGTAAGTGTTTTACGGCACTTGCAACACAATAAGGTCATATAAGTGCCGAAGATTAGAGGTGTTACAAGAGAGTAACAAACACAAAGAAGGAGGGGAGATAAAAGCGATAGATGTTTGATAGGAAAGAAGAAGCAAACCACACCAAAGCACCCGCCAACCACCCACAGCAGTTCACAAGAGAGTGAAAAACATACAAAAGAAGTAGAGGAAAAATGACAATAGATAGAATGAGGAAAGAAAAAGCAGCAGTTCCCCCTATGTTATTCCATCACAGTATGAGCATGACATTGATAAATCAGCCCATTTACAATTCTACCGTGCATAAGAACATGTTCATATCCCCCCTTTGGGAATGGCCTAAAGACAACTTCAGTCCACGTGTGAGTGAGCGTGTGAGAAGGATGAACTCACTAAACAAACATATGGTACAAGGGAAGATCTCTCCTAAAATAAAAGTAAAGTTGCTCCCGCATCCGATCCGGACATTGGGGATTGTCTTGTTAGCGAGACAACTTCCTGGGCCTTCGGCATATTGTGGAAGGGTGGCCAGTTCCTTTGCAAGCCGCCTTTACTTCCAGAACTCAAAGTCAGGTACCCATTACTGCTGGGTGGGCAGGAGGGGGAGGGGGTGAAAAAAATCCGTGTCCGAACCAAGGCTCGTACCCGGACTTTCCGCTTCGGAGACGAGCGCACTAACCGCTCCGCTACTGCAGTTTTCCTAAAATACTACAGCTATTTCAAAACCTGAGCTGACACCTATTTCCACAAGAAGCTACAAACACCAACCTGTCAGCGATGCCCATGGGCTCTATGTACTCCACACACATGCCCTGTTTGCCCTCGTACACGCCGGGACACAGAGACAGGCCAAGGTCAACCCCTGAAGGTCGGTCCACTTCTATCAGCACCGGGGGCTCAGACTGAGACAGGATATCTACACAAAAGTCCAAACAATACCCACAATATAATTTATATATATATATATATTTAAAAACAACACCAATATTATACATAAAAACAACATCAATATTATAAAAGTCAAAACAACACCGATAAAAGTTTAAAAACAACACCGATTAGTTTTCAAACGAGTTTTACAGCACTTGCAACGCAGTTTAAGTGGCGAAGATTAGAAGTGACTGAAGAGTGACATACAAATATAAGAAAGGGGAGAGATGAGAATGATAGACGTTTGACAGGAAAGAAGAAACAAACCGTACAAGAGCACCTGCCATCCACCCACTCACACCAATAGTATGTATGAAAGCAATATCAGTATTTTTAAACATTTATCTGTCATATCAACACAAACAAAAATTACATAGTCATTTTAAATGAAAACAACAACAGTATTTTAAACATTTCTCTCTCATATTCCAGCTCACCGTTTAAGGTTATCAGCTGAAATGGGTGAAAGGACATTGGCATAAAAATTTCAGGGACCCAAGATCTGGAATGCCCTACCCAGTAATTCAAAAAAGATCAAATCATTTATCTCACTTACAAGTCAGCTCAGTCATATTTGTTCTAAGATTTCAAAGATAAAAGTAGATTTTTAGTCAGTACACATTGTATTGTCTAAGTGTTGCTATTGTCAGTGCTTCCAACAGCTGAAGCTGAAAAGAAAGGAAAATTCTGCCGGGGGGGGGGTCTTTAACACATAGCAGACACACAGTCAGCAGTACAAAACACCTCATCTGGTCATGCTGCCAGGGGAGTGACTGCAACAGACTTCTCGGGCCTGGCGCAGAACATTTTCACCATCGCATTATTGCGCCAAGTGACCGCAAAGTGTTAAACGGGGTGAGCAATATGTAAATATTATTTTCATTATCATTATTACTATCGTTTTTATTGATTCTAATTAACCCCACCTCTACAGGAGAGCAGCGAGTTGCATGAGATATGAGAGAGTTTATTTTTAGTAAGAGTTTTACGGCACTCGCAACACAATAAGGTTATATAAGTGCCGAAGATTAGAGGTGTTACAAGAGAGTAACAAACACAAAAAAGAAACGAGGAGAGATCAGGATGATAGATGTTTGATAGGAAAGAAGGAGCAAACCACACCACAGGAGCACCCACCAACCACCCATGAGATATGAGGGAGTGTTGACTTACCCATGGTGGCGACGGTGTAAGAGACGGTGAGCGTGGCCGTGTGCTGACACTGTGACAGCATGCCCAGGGTCTCGCTCACACTCAGGTGGTTCACCTTGTAGCCATTGATGGCCAGCACCTGGTCGCCTATCTGAATACTCCCCTGTCTGAAGTGGAAAAAGGAAAATGTTTTTAACTTTTTATATCTCCGATGGAGGTAAACCCACTACGCCGGGGCCCTTTTTGGTACTAAATCTAAAAATGACAAAAACGTCATTAAATGATGGGTCATTAAATCAACACAAGTGAACCTATTTTGTTAGTTCTTCATCTAATGAATGAACCCCCGTTAAAAGAAACCTGCTTTCGGCTATTGCGGAAAAGTCATTTGATGTCGAAGTCTTAGTACAGAAATGTGCCCCTGGCTCACCGGCACAGCGTTTCTGACAGTGAGCCGCTGGGAGCAGTTTGCTGGAGATAAAGAGTTAACGTAATAATAATGCATAGCCCATGTTCTATAAATATAGGCAAACCTGCTGTAACAGCCACCTGTCCCACACGATCACCTGTACAAACAGACACTTCCCCTTTGCAATTTTTCTACATTATAATGAAACCGTCCAAGACATCATCCACAACCTGTCTAACACAAACACATTTCTCCTTGGAAATGGAAGGCCGGCTTGGAAAATTCTGACAATAGTATACATCATATTTATAGAAAAAAATTCCAATTACACAAGCTTAAGTTGCTATTAAGCGGAGGTGGAGGTTGCTCTTATCTATTAGAGTTGCAGTTAAGTGGACAGCACTGTACCTGTGAGCAGGGCCTCCGGGTCGTATCGCGACAACGGTCAGTGGGTGTGGCCTCATCCTCTCCACCAACATTCCACCCCGCAGGGTCAGACCAAAACTGTTGAGCTCCCGGTCAAGGACCACGTCCTGGCACTTGGTCTGTACCGGGCCACCCTGAAGACCTGATCAAAGGAACGTTTTTGTGTTAAGTAAGAGTTTTACAGCACTTGCAACACAATAAGGTCATATAAGTGCCGAAGATGAGAGATGTTACAAGAGAGTAACAAACACAAAAAAGAAGGAGAGAATAGGACAATAAATGTTTGATAGGAAAGAAGGAGCAGACCGCACCAGAGCACCCGCCAACCACCCACTTTCATACCATGGCTATCAGTACAAAAGAGAGAAAAAAGAAGAAGAAGGACCTATCATATTATATCTATCAGTACTATGTAGAGGTTCGAACCTGGGTCTGGCATCTCGTACTCCACCTCCAGGCTGACGTCAGGCCCGGTGTTCTTGAGCACTTTGATGATCTCGTCATGGCTCAGGCCGGCCACGCGGATCCCGTTGACAGACACAATCAGGTCGCCCACCAGCAGGGCATCACACCTGCCATACACAAACGTATAAGTGTGAGTGATGTTGAATATACGAAAGCGACAGGCAAATTTCATAGGACACAGAAAGCGGAAAGAAGCACTGGAGAATATTGTAACAACAGGCAAGTTTGATGGAAAGAGAGGAAGAGGCAGACAGAGGGAAAATATATTGGACAAGATAACAACATGTCTGGGAACAGCAAGAACAACTGCAAGGCAGGACAGAGAGAAGTGGAGGTCCATGATTGCCCACGCCAGTCGGCAAGGCACCAAATCATAATGATGAAGACACACACATTGACACGATAACCGTCACAGAGTGCAGAGAAGAAGAAGCAAGACAGACAGACAGACAGAAACAACAGAGGGAAAGGAAAGAAGTAGGACCTATCAGTGGCACCCTCCAACCACCCGCACAAACATATTACAACATAGCATCATAGCATTACACTCCGACCATCTTAACTCCAACAAGTCATAAACCCATTCCCTGCTTTGTCCAGCAAGTAGAATTTAAAATATGTCTACCTTAGCATGTACTACATACCAAAATTTTAAGAACAGAAGAAAGATTTGATGCACGTAGACACAAGACACATTTGCAGTACAGGCAAGTAAGCATGTGCTGTTTATGATAAATGAGGAAAACAAGAAAAACCAATACTGCAGCATCTAGTCAGTTGACATGCCGACCTCTAAGAGTAAATCATCTTGTGTATAAAATAGCTATTTCCTATGACCTTTTAAAATCTGTACAATCAGAATAACATTGGGATACTTTCAGAATACTGTTTATAATATAATGTATGTGGCTTAAACATTATCATTATTATTAACATTTGCATCATATTTCATGTATATATTATATTACAAAGACAACATCATAAGCGCAACTCATATGTACAACGTCAGTCCTGTCTCACTCAAGTGTTTTCTCTCGCTAGATAGTTTATAAAGTTTCAGTAAGAGTTTTACGGCACTTGCAACACAATAAGCTCATATAAGTGCCAAAGAATAAATGTGTTACAAGAGAGTAACATACACAAAAAAGTAGGAGGAGAGATAAGGACGATAGATGTTTGATAGGAAAGAAGGAGCAAACCATACCAGACCACAGCACCCACCAACCACCCACTCTGGACAGTTCAAGTTTGTTAGACAACAGAGAAGCACACCGACAAACATGATAACAGACATTTAGAGCAGGGGAAAAAGGGAAATAAGCATGACAGACAGAAACTGCAAGGGGGAGGGGGGGGGGGTTAGAAAAGACATAGAACCAACCAGGAGCACCCTCCAACCACCCACCCTGCAGTTACTTCTACAGTCTGTGAGCCCAACGCGGGCAGTATTGCATACAGACGTATCTCAAAGGCTGCCAAGAATGACTTACGTCTGTATGCGCAAAGAGCCTGCTGTTGAGCGGGGATATGCGCTATACAAATGCTATTTATTATTTATTATTATTATTATGCAATACTTCCCGCGCCAAGTATGACCCCTACGACCCCCACTTTACCTGTGAGCGATGCTGCCAGGTCGCAGGTTGGAGACATAGGGCCGTTGACCTTTGTCCACTCCACCTGGAAGAAATAGGGGAGAGTGGGGCTAGAAGTCACAGGGGCAAGAATTTGTGCAACAACAGGTCCGTCATTTCAGTTATGTTTTTCAGTTCTTGCTCTGCTGTCAACACTCTCTCTCTCTCTCACTCTCTCTCTCTCTCTTTCCCCCTCTCTCTCACTCTCTCTCTTACTCTTCCCCTCCCTTCTTCCCTCTTTCTCTCTCTCCCTCCTTCCCTTCCCTCTCTTTCTGCCTCTAATTATTGGAAGTTGTAACATGTACCTGAAAGTCATGATGAGAGAAAAAAGAAAGACAAGAACAGAAAGGTATCATTGCAAAATGATTTACAAATTTGTTTGTTTCAAAAAGGAGGAGCATATCAATGCAATAATGGTCATTAATGAAAGAAAAAGGGCAAAACAGCCGACAAAAACTAACTAGGGAAAGTAAAGGAGTATAAATTACAGGTGCTACCCTCCACCAACCCACAGAATCAAAAGAAATTGCAAGTAAGCTTGTTGAAATCTAACACAAATCCTCCCTGCCATTACCAGCATCCAACAAGCTGTCCCATCCCATACCCCCTTCCTTTCCCCACTCCAGTAACTCAGCTTGACAGACAAAAGCCAACAAATAATGTGAGGCATGATGATAAAATGAGTTACAGCTCAGGTTTTTAGCTTTGTGGGTATAGATACATCAAATTTATAGGTTGAGTTTGTAAAATGTATTTATGTAAAATTTATTATTATAAAATGAATAATAATAAAATATTTTTTTTTAATTTAAAAAAAAAATTAACAAAATAATAATAATATTACATTTATATAGCACTCTATCCCATACAAATGATACAAGGCATGTGTAACTTGAAGAAAACCGCATTCATTTGAAAAATCTACAAATTTGACCCCTGTGTCAATGTTCAGCCAATATCTCCATCAGTGTATTGCGAGAAGTAACTGGTTTTGTCAGCACGCCTCACAAATAAGTGTCCCAGCCCTACCTGCAAAAGTCAGCCCCAGACCACATCCTTCTTTCTTCTGTAGCTGGACCACCAGGGAGCCTTTCTTGGTCTCTGTGGGACAAACAGGCACACATATCCTCACTGTCACTCATCCTTGTCGTGTGTCAAAATACCAGGTTCTTTTTCTTTTGTAAGAGTTTTTTTTTCTGATTTAAGAAGAGGAATGAGACTTGATCTGATTGAGACACCTCATCAAACTCTACAATATATTCGATTTTCATGTTTTTAGTTTTGACATACCATAATGTTAAACGACAGTAAGAATCTGTTTGCTTATTGCTTGTTCATTAAGAAAAGGAGTATGAATTACAGGAGGCGCCTTCCAACCACCCACAGAGTCATAAGAAAATGGCCAGGAGAGGATGTCTAACTATCACAGACCTTGCTGAGAGTACCTCACAGGAGTGAATGTCTAAACTGTGTTGATGGGGACGAAAAAACATAAGAATTTTACGGCACTTGCAACACAATAACTTTCAATAAGGTCATATAAGTGCCGAAGAATAGACGTGTTACAAGAAAGAAATATACACAAAAAAGGAGGAGAGACGAGGACGATAGATGTTTGATAGGAAAGAAGGATAGCAAACCACATTACAGCACCCGCCAACAACCTACTCGCGATCTCCCCCCCCCCCCCCTCTCTCTCTCTCTCTCTCTCTCTCTCTCTCTCTCTCTCTCTCTCTCCCCCCCCCCCTCCACCTTCCATGTAAGATGAGTCTAGCTAGAGCACTTAACTTCCAGTCTAGCACTTACCAGCACTCAGAGCTGATGTTGTGTGAACAACAGAAACTGACTACCAACAAATGCATGGGGTGAGGGGAGTAGGAGGGGAGGGCGGAATAGGAGAGGTGGGGGCACGTTGCTTCGTGGAGACAAAATTGAACATGCTTTTGAAGACTGCAGGGGGTGAAAATATGACAGTTATACTTTGAAGATAGTGAAATATCTTATTTTTTCAAATTTGGAACCTCATAAATGCATCTTGAAGGAAGATGTAAAATTTCCTCCCTTCTCTTTTGCATGGACCCTGTTGTCTTTCTCTCTGTAATACGTTATGTAAAACTGGGGTATCATGAAGCCCTTACAGTGCACAACTTAAAGTAATAATTTTTTTTATGTGATTTCCCCCCCCCCCCCTTTCCCCCCTGTTTATCTCCTTTTAAATTCTTATTTCATGAAAAACTGCAGGGATTGAAACCCCTGTGGGACTCAGAGAATCTTTTTTCAAAATATAAAACCCCCCCCCCCCCCCCCCCCCCCCCCCCCCACTTATTTCGCTTGGATGCTGGGATAAAGCAACTGTTTCCCTTGTAGTCTTCAACTGTATACATGCAGGCATGACGTATTGTAACTCACTAAGAGCAATCAAAGACGGAGATTTTCACACATGCTTTAGAACAACAAGAAAAAAAGTCATTATTATGATCATCGTGATGTTTGAAGACAAGGGTGGCTAAAATTTACCTTTACTAACACTTTTATGGGGGTTTTTTAACTTCTGTTTGAACCAAAACCACTTCCACAATAACTGCGTAAAAAAGAAAGTTTTGGAATGGAATCCACCTGGTAAGAGATCAAGGGAAAAGCAAAATAAAACCTGAAGTGGAATTACAGAGAATGATATATTTTTTTTAGTAAGTGTTTTATGGCACTTGCAACACAATAAGGTCATATAAGTGCCGAAGATTAGAGGTGTTACAAGGGAGTAATAAACGCAAAAAAGAAGAAGGAGAGATAAAGACAATAGAAGTTTGATAGGAAAGAAAAAGCAAACCATACCAGAGAATGATATACAGACAAGTGGGAAGACATGAAATACTGTTAAAAGAGGCAAGCTCAGGAAAAGGGAAAAGTGGAAGGTATTTGAACTGTTCGTTCGTGGCTTATACCCTGATCCAGGATGAGAAAAGCAATGATGATGACTTTAGGTTAAATAAGAGTTTTACAGCACTAGCAATACGAATAGGTCATAAGGGCGCTTTTAAGGACAAGCTGGCTAACCCAGATTTCGGGGATTTCCAGAAAACTTGATTTACACCAAAAGTGGACATTGCCCTCCTGCCTATAGGAGATGTTTGGTTTCATTAGTGTGTGTATTTGTTTGGTTATAGAGAAAACTCTTCTTGTCTTTTAAAGAAACTGAACAAGGGGCAAAAACTTTAGCTTCTATTTTCTCAAAACGGCATATTTCAGGATAGTCCCCTTGTACTTAAAAGCGACCATTTAAGAGCCAAGATTGCAATATACAAAGAAAAGGAGGCGTGATAAGGACGAATGATATTTGATACAAGAAAGAAAGAGTTAACCACGGCAGAGCACCCTCCAAACCACCCACTGATTGATGATGACTCCCACAATGACTGACTGACTAACCACAGATGTCTTGTCCTGGGTACGGGTTCTCGCCATCTCCTAGGTCAGGCGGGGGGACATCTGTGGAGGACATTGGCTACATGACTACACAGTACCACAGCACACCACAACACATGACTACACATGACTACACAGCAGAGCACAGCACAGCACATGACTACACAGTACCACAGCACACCACAATACATGACTATACAGTACCACAGCATAGCACAGCACATGTCTACACAGTACCACAGCACAGCACAACACTTGTCTACACAGTACCACAGCACAGCACAGAACAACACATGTCTACACAGTACCACAGCACAGCACAGAACAACACATGTCTACACAGTACCACAGCATAGCACAGCACAACACATGTCTGCACAGTACCACAGCACAACACAAAACTGCTACGAGAAAACACGTCTAATAAATTTAAGAACACACAACACTTCATGCCAGACGTATTCTGTAAAGAAACCAACTAGATCTACACACAGTCAAAATTGTACATGGTGGCCACTTATTGTTGAGGAGAAAAATGGCTGCCTCACACATATGTGACTGTCTTACACACTGACAATATAATGTTTGTTTGTTAAAGTAAGGTTTTACGGCGCTCGCCACTACATAAGGTCATATGAGCGCCCAGGGGTGGATGTCAACAGAGAATGGGGAATCAGGCTTACTCTGCTCACCTCTCTAGCTTCAACAGCATTAAGTCTGCTTCGACTATCAAGGCACCCCGGAAATAGCAGTTCACAAGAGAGTGAAAAACATACAAAAGAAGTAGAGGAAGAATAACGATAGTAAGGATGAGGAAAAAGCATCAGTTCCCCCTATGTTGTTCCGGCACAGAATGAGCATGACATTGATAAATCAGCACATTTACAATTTTACTGTGCATACGAACATGTTTATATCCCCCCTTTGGGAATGGCATAAAGACACTTAAGTAAGTAGAATTGCCCGGGAGGGGGGGGTGCTAAGACATGTGACAGTCTAACACGCTGTCATTATAATGTTAAAAAGTATTAAATACAAAGCAGGGAGAAGGGGAGGTGGAGGGAATGGACGTTTGTACAGGTGATTGTCTTACACAGATGGTCTTTAGAGCAGGTTTGAGTGTATAACTATTAAATACAATCCTTACACTTTCCTTTCATGTTATAATTATACACAATCTTCTTCTTTTTCAAGCGTCATATCTGAAACAGACATCAGTAATCATGGTTCGCCACCAATCTCAGCTTAGATGCTCTTAAAATATTTTTTATAAAACCAACCCCACCAAAGCAAATGTTGGGCTTTTCCCATCATCCAAACGTTCAAGTTCTTTAAGTCACTTATCCTTGGCCTACCTCTGTCTCTTTTACCTTTAACTTTTCCAGGGCACGCAAGATGGCTATACATGGAAGCGTAAAATAACTAGTGTCATCTTTTGGTACAATGAGCACACAATATTTGAAAAGAACTATGTATCTCTTAATGTTTTTATCAAAACTTTACTTTTCAACACAATAGATTAGAGATAAGTTCAATGTTTCACTTGTTGGCCGTCTGTTGTTTTGCTTTTGCTTTTTTTTTTACT